TGCTACTAAATAAGTGAAACATGCTACTAGTTCTCAGACGCACCTAACTGAAAAAGTGAAACATTGCTGTTGTTCATTCAATATGTTTTTTTCCATTGGCTTAAAGAAAGAAAATCAAATTGGCTGGTACAATTTAAACAATACACATTAAATCTTGTGTTTGTATTTATTTTTTCTACGTACATCTAATTGGCTAAAGCAAATCAACAGTAATTTACAATAGTTAATTGATCCAATGGATGTTTGTTCATTGAGCATGTCTTGCGCATGCGCGGTGCTAAGTCACTCCATCTAACATAGGGGGCAGCACTGGCAACAGCCTCACTTGACTCTGCCCATAAACGCAGTAGAATATGATATGTGTGCCATGTGCTCTGGCCTCCGATCATCCAAAGAAGCGTGACCGAGACCTCACCTTCCCACGCCCAGGCTTCTCCACGGATAAAGGTAATGTAAAATGTAAAAAATACATGTAGTCTTGTTTTACTTATTATATATGTCTCATTTGTATGTAAAGAGACACGAAAAGTAAGCTACTTGGAGGTGATTAAAGATATACATTATTACTACTAGTTAGTTTTAATTATATCTTCTAGATATTGAATTCATTGACTGGGTCATCAGAGCGATAGAAATAGGGGATTTGTTTTCGATAGCATGTTTGCTTATTACGAGAGCAAAGTTGAATTTTAGATTGAGTCGTTTTGCGCGGCCACCATTTTGGGCTAACGTTAATACATCGCCAACGCTTGACATGCTGAGATGAGCCGGTCCAGCTTTTATTTTACACTGGTGCAAACTTGTCAAATTGCGAGTAGTGCACCACCAGGTTTACGCATTTTGCGCACTACGGCCAGGTGTAACTTTAAGCCCAGGATGGCGCAGGCATAAATCCCGGGCCTAATCATGCGGGCAGCGGCTGATAGAACGGCGAGTGTTCCGGTCCGCCGGAGCTGCGGTTCTGCGGGCTTGAGGTGGCTCTCTCCTGCCTTGTGCTTTTTTGTCATCGTAGACACGGACAGATTATTTAACGCTGCGCAAATAACAAATAGAGACAGATACCCTTTATGAAACTAAATTAGTTAATCTATATACATATAAATGAACGCGCTCGCTCTCCGCTGCAGCGCGCAGCCCTCCTATCGCCACAGAAACTCCGGTACTGGTATTGAAAAACTAACGTTCTTTCGGCGCCAGTTTTCCTTGGCTTTAAATGCGATAAAATAAATATCTAATAAATGGTCAACTAGTCCAAAATAAAATTCAGTTGGCTTTGTCAGTTCACATGCAAACCACTTGCAGAGAATAACACTGCTCATAAATATAATTATCTTTAAAATAATTGCAATTCATTCCAAAACTGACCTATAAAGCAGTTGTTACTCTTTATTGCCTACCTCTACTTAATTGTGTAGTTTAATTTAAAAATGTGAAATCATTCATATTATAAAATATAAAATTAATTAAACATTTTAATTTGCTGAATTTCCTCACATGCAATGTGTTTAACACATTTTTATTTTCCTTGCCTAATCTATCTGCACAGGAACCATTTCCCACTTGGACGCGGTTTCAACCAGCAAGAGTTCTTTTTCCTTCAGTTCTGTAGAGGTATGTTTGCATTAAAGTTGGTTTAATTTGAAAGGGAACATTTACACATGGCAATATAGGTTCTCACCACCTTTCAATACATTGATATGAGATTCTAAAATAAATAATGCCATTCTGACAGGACTGTAATGCAGTCCAGAGGGATCATCAAATAAAAAAAATCTCACATTTGACAAAAAGTTTTAAATATCCTTTCAAGCCACAGATTGTTCAGAAATGGTAACAGTAAAATTTGATTATTATTTTTTTTTTCTTTTTCATTTTAAATTTCTGTATACATTTCAGATCAATGCTGAGTTTCTGCGCATCACCACATGTCCATTGGAGTCTACCTTCTGTGTAGAACTAGACCGACACACTTCAAAACTTCTAGAAGTTGCAAGAAAGGGAGGATCTTTTCAAATGAAGGCTGCTTGGATTCTTCGGGATTTTGATGAGGTAACTTTAATTAGATGGCATAGGTGCTTCTAAACGTTTCCTAACTTGGTTTACCTATAGCAGTGCTTCTCAGACTTTTTCAAACCATGGATCACTTTGTCATTGAAAACTAAACTGCAGTCCACTTTCCTGTGCCCAGCAAAACCAATACAAAAAAAAAAATTAAGATTCGGCTAATGTATGTTAAAAGGCCTACTATGTTTAACTATTAGAGAAATTGGTTTGTTTTGTGTTCATTAAAATTAATTGCTGAACAGGAAACGATTTAAAATGAGACATTTACAGATATTCATAGGTTTATAGTAGATTTTATTAACTTGAGTGCATTTTTGTTACACCATTCCTCTTTACATTTCTGAGCTCCATGGTAAGTCATAGGGGCTTTACATGGACAAAATTTGCTTTTTCTATTCAAGATAGGATGCTTATGACAGGACACGTCTTACTCACCTGTCTCCTGCTCTCATCTCCCCTCTCCCTTCTGTCTATGAGCTTGTGCCTCTGCTGTGTGCAGCTTAGGGGTGGGCAACTATAAGCTATACTGTAGTATTTAATTTTTTTACATTTTCAAAACAATATTTACAGTATACATTTTTATTACATTATTTTATAATTTTCTCATGAACCACCTGACCAGTTTTGGAGTCACTGAGCAATAGGATCTGGCAGTCCATGGTGTGGGTCTTGCTTTCTGTTCAGTGATTGGATATCAGCTCGTTTTGAGAAGTGAAACGATAAATGGAAAGACCTTGACATCATTCACCTAAGTGACAAAATTTTGTCAGATCGCCTTGTTCTTTTAATCTCTTCATGGACCCAGTGCTTTGTGTGTCCGAGAGGTGTCCACACCAGTTCAGGAAAAAATGTTTTTTTTGTGAAGTGAAAATATCCTCATTACAAATATTTAGTATGTTTACGTCACATCTGAATGCAAATTTAAAAAAAAAACCCAAAACACTCCATTATGTCAGTACCAAGAATAGAATTGAGAAAAATAACAGTGTTCTTATGTTTGCAGGCTTCACTGAATGCTGCACTGGAAGCATCTACACGAAGGCAATATGCACTAAAGTTGCTGATGATTTTCCTTGGAGACCCTGTTGATGAAATAATAAAAGAACATCAGGTATGAACGATATATAGAGAATAAAACCTGTCATGTCTTACAATATCAAACTCCTCACCAATTGGCAGTCTGTAACTGATGGTCCTTTTTTGTATGTGTTAATCATGTGAATGAAGCAAAACATAACTCCTGGTATGTTTGAGGAAACATAGATCAGAACTGAAGAAGCAGCTTGGATGAGCTGCGAAACGTCTTCAACCAAACTAACCTTTGTCCAGTTGACAAACTGAATTTTCTCCTTGCCATAGATCAGAATATAGCATAATATGTACCCTTTAACGCTCCAAAATAAATCCAGTATATTCTGATTGAGAATAGATAATTGTAAAAAAAAAAAAAAAGTGCACAATTTAAATATAAACTGTTTGCACTTGCACTTAAGTAATTATGTAGGTAATTTATTTCATTTTTGGACAATCTTCTAAAATATAAAGCTATTTGGGGATACTTAAAGATTCACTATGCAAGTTTTCCAGAGACATTTCCATCACATGATTTTCTCATGAAATTGTTTTTGAAGTTCCACAGTGTGAAATACACTTTTGTATTTGCATTTGTTAAATTTTTTCAAGCTTGCTTTTTCACCCAAAATACTCAGACCCTCTACCAGAAAACTACATAGTACACCTTTTAAAGTGTTTGTTGATCTAGTTTAGATAGATTTTAACTGCTATCACATACTATTCCAGTCTGAACAATTCCTATTTGAACCGTGTATAGCAAACTTGCCTTGAATCCAATTCTGATTTTAAATGCCATTTACAGTGGTCCTTTTAGTGAATAAATTATTTAACCCAATAAGATCGCCGCAAATTAATTTATTAAATATTTGTTTTAACAAAATATTAGTTGATGCAAATTTTAAAATATTGGCAATCAAACCGCAAATTCTTCCATAGCATTCTTGACTAACCTCTAGCTCAATGTTAAACTGTAGGGACTGTAGAGTGTTGTGATGTCACATTCAACATTTTCTATGGTAGAATTTGCTGTCTAGCTGATTGCAAAGTTGTTGACTTGATTTGTGGTTTCTATCTTTATAATCACTGGATCTATCCACATAAAAAACAAGAACTGGCACAAAGTTTAAATTTATGCATCATCAGTATGGAGATTTCTCTCAAAGTAAATCTGTTTTATACATAGTTATGAAGTCACTTCCCACCATCTGAAATCATTACATAACATTTTAGAATATGAAGTATCTTTTGCAAATCCTTAGAATGCATTACAGACGCATACATGCAGACTGATAAGCATTAAATTATATTTTGTACTAATCTACTCATGTTTTGCAGGTACAGCAAGAATACAGTGTGGTGGAGGAGACGATGGCAGTTGTCCTGACACCGACAGATGTGAAAATTGTGTTGGAAGGTGAAGAGGTCCTGGCTAATCTAAATTCAGTGGTTCAAACTTTTGTCATGCTGTTTGGTCTCATATATACTCTAAACATGCAGTACCCGAAGAAATGTGTACGTACATTTGAGTTCGTTCAGAAAGTTCTTATGGGACTGGATGGGGAAAAAACTGAGCCCCAAAGTTCACAAACTGAGTGTCTTGCTACATAACAAGTAGTTGTGTCTCCAGTTTTATTGTTCATACTCATACGTTTTTAAGGTTGAAATTTTCTGCAAATCCAGAGGTGAACTTCTCACCTTTTTTTTTTTGTTCAATTGTACAAACTGTACCACTGTAGGACCAAGGCAAGTTAAGTTTAAAAAAAAAACAAGTTAAGACATGTTGGCTTACCTTATATTTGTTTAGTAGTAGTAGTAGTACTGGTTGCTTGTAACTTGCATATCACTGTATTTAGTGATCAATTTTATGCACTGTTAAATAAAAATAAAGTAAAATAATTCAATGTGTTGTGAAATTACTGAGATTATAGGACCATTATAAATAGGAGAAACAAGTTAAGGTAGATTGGATTAATCTATAACAAGTACATTCATTTAATCTGAAATTTTAAATTGGCCCATAAATGCTAATGAATTTTAAAAAATTGACTCAGTTAACTTTTGCGCGTTGAGGTAATTAATGTTTTCTTGTTGAACCAATTTATAATTGATTAACTGTTACAATTTAAATTTTTTTAGTTGGACCAATTTACAATATTTAGATGTAAATGATTTCTATATAAATTGTAGGTTAAACCAGTGTTTAATTTTTTTCAGTGTCTAAGCGTCTAACATCCAGGTCTAAAACGTAACTTAAATAGGTCTAGATTCATGCAGGTGAAGTATTTTTATCTGACCTGTATACATTTGAGCAGGGCTGGACGATTTGGGGAAAAAAATTAAATTAAATTAAAAATAGAAAATTCTACTCTCTTTTCAGACATTTTAATTCATATAAAACACACACACACACAAAAATACAAAAAAAACAAAACAAACAAAAACAAACGAACCTCACACTATCCTCTTTCTCTCATCTCTTTTCTTCCTAACTCTCTCCATCCTGTCTTCCTCCTGTTTTCCCCTCGTCTTCACACACGTACTCATTTCCCTTGTTAATTATTTTCTTATTTGTCTTTTATTATTTTATTTTCGGTGTGCTCTTTGAGCTTGTATCCTGCTCTTGCAGTATTCGCATCGTGCCTCTTATAGAATTTTTTGGGTGGTGAGACATTAAGTCATTTAAAGAGTTCAATCTATGTTCAGTGTTGGGGAGTAACAGATTACATGTACCTGAGTTATGTAATCAGAGTACAAATTATGAGTAACTGTATTCAGTTACAGTTACTCTTTAACTGAGTGGTAATTGGATTACAGTTACTTTGTTGAAATAAATGGATTACACAGAGGTATTTTCCTGTTTGCACATTTTGGACTATATCCCTTTTTTCTTCTTTCTTTTTTTTTCCGGTAATTCCACTCATTGCCGGATACTAAACCAGGTCTAAACCAGGTCTAAACCAGGTATAAACCAGGTCTAACACAGGTCTAAACCAGGTCTAAACCAGGACTAAAACCAGGTCTAAACTAGGTCTAAACCAGGTCTAAACCAGGACTAAAACCAGGTCTAAACTAGGTCTAAACCAGGTCTAACACTAGGTCTAAACCAGGTCTAAACTAGGTCTAAACCAGGTCTAAAACCAGGTCTAAACTAGGTCTAAACCAGGTCTAAACTAGGTCTAAACTACATCTAAACCAGGTCTAAACCAGGTCTAAACCAGGTCTAAACCAGGACTAAAACCAGGTCTAAACTAGGTCTAAACCAGGTCTAACACTAGGTCTAAACCAGGTCTAAACTAGGTCTAAACCAGGTCTAAAACCAGGTCTAAACTAGGTCTAAACCAGGTCTAAACTAGGTCTAAACTACATCTAAACCAGGTCTAAACTAGGTCTAAAACCAGGTCTAAACCAGGTCTAAACTAGGTCTAAACCAGGTCTAAACCAGGTCTAAACCAGGTCTAAACCAGGTCTAAACCAGGTCTAAAACCAGGTCTAAACCAGGTCTAAAACCAGGTCTAAACTAGGTCTAAACAGGTCTAAACTAGTCTAAACGTCTAAACCAGGTCTAAACCAGGTCTAAAACCAGGTCTAAAAGGTCTAAACCAGGTCTAAACCAGGTATAAACCAGGTCTAAACTACAGGTCTAAACTAGGTCTAAACCAGGTCTAAACAGGTAAAACCAGGTCTAAACTAGGTCTAAACCAGGTCTAACACTAGGTCTAAACCAGGTCTAAACTAGGTCTAAACCAGGTCTAAAACCAGGTCTAAACTAGGTCTAAACCAGGTCTAAACTAGGTCTAAACTACATCTAAACCAGGTCTAAACCAGGTCTAAACCAGGACTAAAACCAGGTCTAAACCAGGTCTAAACCAGGTCTAAACTAGGTCTAAACCAGGTCTAACACCAGGTCTAAACCAGGTCTAAACTAGGTCTAAAACCAGGTCTAAACCAGGTCTAAACTAGGTCTAAACCAGGTCTAAACCAGGTCTAAACTACTCTAAAGGTCAAAACTAGGTCTAAACCAGGTCTAAACCAGGTCTAAACTAGGTCTAAACCAGGTCTAAACAGGTCTAAACCAGGTCTATCTAAACCAGGTCTAAACCAGGTCTAAACTAGGTCTAAAACCAGGTCTAAACCAGGTCTAAACCAGGTCTAAACCAGGTCTAAACTAGGTCTAAACCAGGTCTAAACTAAGTCTAAACCAGGTCTAAAACCAGGTCTAAACCAGGACTAAATCCAGGTCTAAACCAGGTCTAACACCAGGTATAAACCAGGTCTAAACTAGGTCTAAACTAGGTCTAAACCAGGTCTAACACCAGGTCTAAAACCAGGTCTAAACTAGGTCTAAACCAGGTCTAAAACCAGGTCTAAACTAGGTCTAAACCAGGTCTAAACTACGTCTAAACCAGGTCTAAAACCAGGTCTAAACCAGGTCTAAAACCAGGTCTAAACCAGGTCTAAACCAGGTCTAAACTAGGTCTAAACCAGGTCTAAACCAGATCTGAACCAGGACTAAAACCAGGTCTAAACTACGTCTAAACCAGGTCTAAAACCAGGTCTAAACTAGGTCTAAACCAGGTCTAAACCAGGTCTAAAACCAGGTCTAAACTCTAAAAGTCTAAAACCAGGTCTAAACCAGGTCTAAAAGTAAAAACCAGGTCTAAACAGGTCTAAACCAGGTTAAACCAGGTCTAAACTAGGTCTAAACTAGGTCTAAACCAGGTCTAACACCAGGTCTAAAACCAGGTCTAAACTAGGTCTAAACCAGGTCTAAAACCAGGTCTAAACTAGGTCTAAACCGGGCTAAACCAGGTCTAACACCAGGTCTAAACCAGGTCTAAAACAGGTCAAACCAGGTCTAAACCAGGTCTAAACCAGATCTAAACAGGTCTAAACAGGTCAGTTCTAAACCAGGTCTAAACCAGGTCTAAACCAGTCTAAACCAGATCTAAACCAGGTCTAAACCAGGTCTAAACCAGATCTAAACCAGGTCTAAACCCGGTCTCAAACAGGATTTAACAAGACTAAACTTCTTCTATCAATACTATTTTTAATTTAGTTAAATAAAGTCTGGGCTTTTTATTTCTTTTACCAGACAAAACTTCTTATGTGAAGATTTCCTCGTCTTTGCTTCTCTACAGCAAATCAAGTAATCCAAAGTATTCAGATTACATTAGTCACTTTAAGTAATTTAATGGATTACGTTACAAACTACATTTTGGGATATGTAATCTGTAATCTGTAGGGGATTACATTTTAAAAAGTCACCTTCCCAACACTGTGTATGTTTAATCATTGTACAATATAAGATTATCAGAATTGCTTTGCGTTCTGTTCAAAACTGTATGTAAACACAGAGACATCAGCTGACCCATTTAAAGATAACATGATAGAAAATCTGCTCATGATTGTAAATAAATTGCGGCTGACACAGGATAAATTGGGCTAAGAAGAGACTGTATGTACACTATGATATGACGTATGTAATCGGATGCATTATCAGCTGTCGTCCATTAGTCAGCGATAACAACTGTAAAACATGTCGTATAATCATGTCAGGGTCATTGTGTGATGCTTCAGTAAAAGTAAGTAAGTCTAAGTAAGTCTTTATTTATATAACGCTTTCACAGACATTTTCTGTCCCCAAAGACGCTTTACAGAGCATTATTCAGCATTATTCATTTACTCTATACCACAGGTGTCAAACATGCGGCCGGGGGGCCAGATCCGGCCCTCCAAGACCTTTAATCTGGCCCTCGGCTGATTTTCTACTAAAATATTTTAATTATGTTTTTATTAAAATGTTGTTAATTTTTCTGTGGTGTTTATCACAGCAGCGTCTCCAGCGTCTCTGTACGTGGCCCCTCCCACCAGAGCAGCACAAATGAAGACTTGTCTCTTTCCAAACGCTCTTAAAGGACGATCGTTTTGACTGTTGACCGTGACATCACAAAAATGTCACAAATGAGAAAAGTGGAGCCGAGTGCAGGATTTTTCAAGAAAAATTTACTTATTCCTGTTTACAAACAAGTTCATGTTAAAACATTGTGTTGAAATTGTATTTTTCTTGAAGTTTCAGGTTGTTCATAATATTATAATATTTTGTAAAAGAAAGAGTTCATCAATTAAAAAAGATTTCTGTAATAGATTTGTGTTTCTCTGCACAAATATTTGAACTTGAATTTGTTATTTTTGGGGTTTATATGACATGAGTTTTCTGATCCGGCCTCTATGGGATCAAAGTCGGTTGGATACGGCCCCCGGACCAAAATGAGTTTGACACCCCTGATCTATACCCTGGTGATGGTAAGCTACTATTGAATTGTGTTACTATTGTATTGCCACTCGGCTCCATCAGTCCCTCCGACCACCACCACCATCACTCACACCACTTTCATACTAGGCAATGTGGGTGAAGTGTCTTGCCTAAGGACACGCAGTGATTGAATTGATTGTATTTTAACTGACCTTGACTATCAACTGTTTATGGAGACCTGTGTAGCATGTTTTGGGTTTGGTAAAAAAGCTGCGAGGAGGAGGAGAGCCAGGGCTAGGTTCAGTCAGTCAGCTCTCGTACTCCTTGCTGCAAGTAAAACCAACTACTGTGTCGTCTCTGGTTTGTT